AATGCTCTCGATCTTTTTACGCTTTCATTGCCTCTCGCCCGACATGTTTTGCACGGCGTTTGGTCATGCGAAACCTCCACGAAACATCCACGCCTCGCGCGAGGTAACTTTATCCCGATTCTAAAAATAACTCGAGACGAATTACCTATGGAATAGGGTGTATATGGGGGATGCCCTCTCTGTCCCCTTTATAGTCTCTTGTGGAAAATCATTCATTGACTTAAAATATGAATATAGTATTTCCTCTCGATCCTACTTCAATTACAAAGTTCTGCGCGAAATCTTTACACTGTTTGAGCAATAAGCTGCGTTTCCTAATGACCAATTTTGATATATTAAAATTCATACTTGGTTCCGGCGCTTGTGATTGGAGGGATAATACATAAGTAGTATCGATATTTGCCTACTCCTGGTCTACTGGTTTAGCCGGCTTTTCAACAAACTGCAGCTGGATGTTAGGAAAACTCACGAAAATTTTTGAGAGTCAAATGCACGTGTGACAGACAGGATAAAGACAAAATAGCAGTATTAGTTAATTTAGAAGTTAGGTATTTTTTTCTAATAAGTTTGGAAAAAAATTAAAAGAAAAAATTCGCTTTCCTTATTCTAAAAAAATAGATTACATGTCGTAACCAAAATTATCCAATTGAAAAAGTTGTTCCTGTTCCTTCTTATGGCGCTCCTGTAAATCTCTGAGCCCTTTATCCCAATTTTTACGGAAAGCTTTAAGCTCATCCTCCATGGCCAAGATCTCTGCGCTTTGAGCTGCCAATAGACGCTCCGTTTGTACACTTCCATCCGAAGATAAACGCTGTGGAAGGTTTGTGTTCCCTTGATTTTCATCATCTTTGAGGGGAAGCGATGGCTCAGGCTTGGGAGAACATTTTTCTGCAACAAAACAGACAATTTAATTTAGTAAAAAATAGTCTCAGATAAACATTAATCCTCGATGTTACAAACAAATTCATACAAACATCGTGATGCTGGGGAGGAAAGCGTTGGAAATGCCTTTTGGAGTTTTGGTTGGGATATATGATTCAAAAACATTAAAATCAAAATCAAAAAGAAGAAGAAGGAGAAGAAGAAGATGATGATGACGATGAGGATGGCGCTGACGACGATGATGATGATGATGATGCAAGAGATGAAAGAGGAGGAGAAAGATGAGCTGATTGGGAGCACGAACAGAGAAAAATGTTGTTGTTGGACAACAAAAACAACAAACAAGTGCGAAAAACTATCATGTCACTTAACACTTTATCACTAGTAACCACAGTAAGCAACTATCGCCGAAATTTACCACAGTCTAAAAAACAAATTTAATTAAAATTCTACTCGAGAGGCAACATTGTTGTTAACACATTTTGACGTCATCGGCGGTGATCTATAGCTGAGCAGACATACGGAATAGCGACTCGCAACGTTTGCCTCCCTGGCGATCCCAGAATCCTGTGTGCATAATAAAGGTCTCACTGGAAAATCATTCACTATGGTGCCTTGCGGTGTTGCAGTGATCCTGACAAGAATTGGTCAACCTACTGAATTAAATAAAATGAAACGCAATTGGAACCTCGAATTAATTAATTTTAGCGAAATGCCAGGGTCACTGGATGTACCAGAGATTAGTGGAATGAAACCATTTAAGTTTATCACCAGGCATATCGAATGCAATGTAGATTAATTACCTGAGCCCGTTTTTAATTTGTGCTCCTTTTGCGCCTGAAGAGAATACTCCCAGATAAGGCCGACGATCAAAATCACAATAAAGAAACCAAGCAGACTGTACACAGTGTAACCAAACAGATTTTCTTGAAAATACTCAACACCAAGACTTGAAGCTTCACTTGGTTGCTGAAAATAGGAAAGAAACCTATGGAATAATTCTTTTTTGTCTCGTATGACTTGTTTTTTCAGTGAATATCATTGGTGTTATTCTATAAGAAAGCTCTTTTTTTCAAATTGTTTCTAATTAGTAATATGTGCATACAAACGCTGATTTAGAAAAGAGGCAAAACTTAAAATCACGTCAAGAACATTTATAACCTACATACAACTAAACATATACAATTGAAATGTCGACACTGCTGACAGCAGAGCGGCCATTTTTGTACAAATCCCAACCAATCGCCTTTGTCATCAATTGTCTTCGAAGGGAGGATAAGGTCGCACTTCATCCATGTCCTGCCCATAATCACACAATTTATATATTAAACAGCCACTGAACTTTGTCTCCATGGCGTATAACCGTTGTTAATTCTGCAACGAGCAATTGCAACCCCTTGTGTCCAAAGAGGATCTCTGTTTGCCACAGCTTAATCACTAACGCCATCACCAGTTGTCTTCCTCTAACTACCTAAAGACCAGCAAGTTCCTATTTACTGCGCCTATAAGTTAAAATATTATCAATTTGCTTATATGTGGGAGAGAGCTTTAAGCAGTTTGTTCACCGATGTACGTACAAAGGAAATATGTGGAAAACATTAAGGGGTAGACCATAAATTAGTGGACTGATCTCTCACCCAGGGTCCCTGCTTTTGATAAGATTGCTTATTCTAAATAAAAACGTATGATAGCATATTCTCCAACCTTTTCTGTCTTAATGAACTTCTCTATTATCTCGTGTATCTCCAATTGATGATTTTCAGTATAGCTGCGGAAACAATTTCTTGCAGTCTCAGAGCCCATGGGCAACACCGCTCCATAGATTACGGGCTCATCAAGTACTGTGGCCACATAAAGTCCGTATTTCTCATAGTATTTAACACTGTGTTGTGTTGTACTGTAAAGATCCACCAATGCCACCCTAGTCTCTTCATCTTTCACACTCTTGTACAATTCATCGTAAGTTATTTTTGCTGCAAATCATATTTTGTCATTATTATTACTTATATCAAAATTATAGGTGACTATGAGATGTGATTCTTATAAAAAACGAACAGCGGGTTCAATTTTTTTCACTCAGATTTTAAATCAGTTAGTGTTTTGAACAGCTTCAAAAAGTATGCCAAGTCAAAGACAAAAGCTTAAAGTACGTCAAAGGTGAATTAAGCCTTACGTTTATTCATTAATCTTCATTATTCTGGATGTTCAAACTGCCAACTTATTCGTTTTGAAATGTATACAGCTTTGAGATACTTACCATGAACCTCGGCGTTTTGTAAAATAGCCAACTGTTGTTCGGCTGATCCGTTCATAACTGCCACCTGGTATGAATCGATAAAAAGAGGTCTAAGTATAGAAATCACGAGTATGTATCTCAAATGTCTCAGTTTCAAAAGCTGGTGTCCCGTTTAGTACTGTTCTTAAAATAGCTACTCTTGCTAAAAAGAACAGAGTGAATGAATTAGAAAAACAAAAATATTTTGAACATGAACAGGCTTGAAAAACTCAGCAGAATTCTACGATTTTATTCTGCTACACAACTAAAAAAATCGCGAATAAAATAACGTGAACGAAAAGAAATTTTTGCCAAAGCCGGCCGTCAAATTTGGAGCTTTACAATATCTTCAGTGCAGTTATAAACTAAAATTCCCTCAGTCACTTGCTTGTGAAGTTGTCTGAAGCCGCCAGCCGGTTTTCGAAACTAGAACAGAAGCTATACTGATACCTGGATTGATTGGAATGCGGGTCCATAGCCTGTAATTTCATTTCCTCGAGGTTTATAGGCTTTTTGCCGGACCAACATTTCGGTCAATGGCTTTGAGACCCGGAGGAGCCGACATGCTCGTCTTCTTTCGCGCTTGATCAAGGTATTCTTCATGTGTTTTCATGCAATTTTTTTCAGCGAAACTTTATTCAGAACGGAGAATACTTGAAACGCTAATAACGACTGATAACCGAACAAGAATGAGAAAGTTACAAATGTAATATCTTATTTAATACTTACAGGCATTCCATAAAGGTTGCTGATTTGTTCGAGACTGTTACTGGAAAGGGAGGCGGTGATCATACCCATAAAGATAGCGAGTATAACAAGACCAACATTAATCCAAACAACTCCAAAAAGACGTCCGGCTACACTGCGCGGCACCTTGTCACCATAGCTAAACGAAAAAGCCAGAGTAAGAAAAAGAAAAAGAGAACAAAAAAGAAAAGAACAAAACCAAAACAAAATAATCAAAATTAAAAAGAGAAGCAGGAGTCTTACTTATTCTCAGGATAACACGAACAAGCCTTAATGTATTGGTTGTAGGTAACTTTTTATCTCAGTTAATTTTTATTTTTCCTTTGCTTTAAGGGTATGGTAATGTCTGCTAATGAATTTGAAACAAAGGAAAAACAAAAATTAACTAAAATAAAAAATTAACTGCAGCATATTCAAACGCTATGGAACTGACGGAGTTTTCCGGCGAGTAGATCAAGTAGAACAATGTTTTGGGTGTCACTGTTGGTTCATTTCGCTTCAGTCTCATAAATTAGACATAATGCCTTGCCATAATTATTTCTCTTAGCAATGGGGCTCCACCTAGCGCGCTTCGCGTGCGCGGAAACTCCGGTATAATTACCCTATCCTGACTATATGCAAAACAGATTCGGTTTATGTATTTTACATAATACTATGGCCATCCTCTTTTTTTTTCTCCGTTTAGCGTCGTCCGACCGACCCAAATATTTAGCATTTTCAAAAAACAACAACAACAAAAAGTAACGACGTCGTTAAACCATTTTTCACTTGAAATAATTCTTTTAATCTGAAAAATGAGCATAGGAACAGCGTAGAGAAAAACAGGAACAAAAACAGGAACATTTTTTTTTACAGTATATATATTGTGTATTTTGTTAATCCAAATATGTGAATGTTAACTTTTAACGTCGTCCTGGGGTAACAGGTCTTCTTATTCCAAGACTTCTCATTTTTTTTCAATCCGACAGACCGACCCAATATCGGGAAACGCATCCAACACAAAGCCAAAAAAAAAAGGGGCGGGGGATGGCCTGTCTGTAAAAGAATGTTATTCACGAACTGGTTCAAGGCACTTACCCCACGGTTGTCATAGTAACGGCAGCCCACCAAAATGCTTCAAATACTCCGCTGGGAAAGAATTCCGGGAATTCTTCAGGGTTTGAACGATAATCCTGAAGAAAAAAAGAGGTGAAATTTAACAATCATGTATGAAAAACTTATCTCAAAAGATCGTGAATTGCTAAAAACGAATAACAAGTTAACCGTATGCTTCAGTTGACTTTATTGAACTCAAAAATGCAATTTTTTTAACATTGTGTCTTAATTGAAAAATGACAAATTAAGCTGCTGTTTAGATTAGAATTTGCATGTCACTTCTTTTAACCCAACAAGATTAGAATCTGTCAAAAGTTGTCGCCAAAGTTTATACTTCACTCCAATCAGACCTTCTCTTTAATCGAAGCCACATAAATAAGGAGGTGGCGACGTGCCCGTATAATTGATTCCATTCAATTTCCTTGTCTGTACTATAGCTTCATCCTCCATACATGATAAAGAGAACGATCAATTCTCTGGTTTGGAAAGGTGAGGCTTTCGCCAAGAGTTCCATGGCTTCTATTTTGCAGGGATGTTAATTAAATCTATTTTGCATGGCTTATGGATTATTCTCTTTCTTCCTTTTCCTTTGTTTTTTATATCAACGCTTTGTAGAATAGCAGTACTGGTACTATATTTTCTTTCTAAAACTTTATTCAATTTATTTTATTTTTATCTGTATCTATTTGTTCATTTTATTAATTTTTTGGGGTTGATATATGAATCTTTTCTTTCTGAAAGCACAAAACCACAGAGAGACACAAAGTAAATGAAACGAAGCTAAAGCTGTCTTAACAACGCAAAAGAGCACTTGCACTTACCAGAATCCACATGACTATTGCACTGAGAGATACTGCCATCACAATGAAAATTAAGATTGGCCAAGCGTCAAAAATAGCAGCAAGCAACTCCTGTCCTGGAATGGTCTTTTGTGCAATCACTGCCATCCCTGGAGACGCTATTAACCCAAGAAATGGGCGCAAGTATATCGATTCACCGCGGCTTGCTCTTCGCCCTAACGGAATAATGGCCTGGTGAGAATGATCTTGAATCGTAAGTTTTAATGAGCTGGGGTACTCAATACGTTTTCCTGTCACGTTAGCTTCACGTTTACAACAAACGTTGAAAATTTTCCTGAGGATTTCAGGCAAAGCTCCGTTGATGAGGAATTCTCCTTCATCTTTGTAGACATACGGCTTTTGCTCCCAGTAAACCAAGGATAATGAAGTTCCATTATCGCATGCAAGTTGAAAACTAGATGCAAGACTCGCTGCTGGAAGAAACTGAAATAGAACCAACGCTTTGAAGGTAGATAAACAGTAAACGAAACTTGTCATATTACTTTTTCGCTTTAATTGCGATTTTTTTTCATCAACCGGTACTGATATTGAATCATCTTTTGATAGTTCCAGCAACAATCTAAAAATTTAATCGAGTCTCTGTTGTATAGTTTATATTCTTCCCCCATTTTATCAGTTTTTCTTTTTTTCTATTCACTGTAATAAAAAATTTATGTCTGTTCATTGTCATCCAAAACCGCGAATCTCAAAAGAACTCATAGGAGAGTCTTTGTGCCAGTCCCGTTTTGTTTTGCGAATGCGCCAACCATAAGTTGAAATAAATATGAATAAATCTCTAATCTACAATTGATCAGTAAATAATATGCTTTTGTTGTCAAAATCTCACATTTGGAATATAAATAAATAAATTGGGGATGCATAAATAATTAAAAGAAATATCTAATTGATAACGCGTAATTAATCATAATTATCTGTCCTTGTTATCGCTTTATTTTCTTTTTTTTTTTTTGACGGATTGGCCTTCCGTTCACACGAAACCAGTGAATCCTTTCACTGACCTAGACTGACCTAGCTTGATCGAGTGCATGAAGTATAATGGGATTTCAAAAATATCAGGATTCCGCGGGCGTGTGGACGTTTAAAGAATAATCTCAGCCGGGCCAATCAGGAATAAGAGCATTGTGGCTGCCGTGATGTCCGCTAATGCATCTCCCGCATAACAACAATTATGATGTAAATGGCCAGAACCAGAAGAGACGTTTAATTAATGTGATAAACGATGCATGATGCATCGAGCCGTCAATCAAAAACGACGAAATATTTTGAACGAATAGATGATGAAATTTATAAAATAGAAAAGCAATATCCTCACCTTTACGAATAAAGGTATTTTACCAACAATTAAGGTAGATTTTATGGTATTACCCTATACCCTTTCTACATACTTCCCATAGTAGCGGTATTCCCTCCCACATTCTTCAATGAAAGCTAAGTCCTTTTAACGCACTATATTTGAGTGTCGGTGTAACTAGCCGACAAAACTGATCGTCAGGACAGTGTACTGGGCACGGGGTCCATTTGACGTTGTCATCATAACCACGCAGGGTCTTAAATCAAGTCAGAAATTACTCAACCGAACTGAAGGTTTCACCTTGCAAATGGCTAGAACTTTGAGTATTGGTCCGGCCCTAAGGGACACAA